TCCGTTCTCAAGTACATTCCAGTAATGGCGATATTGACACAGCAAACCTCCAAACCATCGCTCGCCTTTCCCTCAACGACGGTGAGCTGCAGAATGTAATGCACGCCCTGTCAAGACGCGTGGCACAAGATCTGCATCGACAGGACAAGCAGCAACAACGTCCGTCGCCCCCTTCACGTGAACGAGGTATTCAACGACAGCCTCGAATTCCGCCGGCTATCTTCGACCTGATTCCGATTCATAACGGTCTGCCCGTGTGCCTTCGGTATTTGTCTGCACGGGGGTGCCCTTCGGGGGCTTCAACACACTGTGTGTATGGCGCTCGGGCCCACGTCATTCCTGATACATTGGACGCTCGAGTCAAAGGACACATAATTCAACACATGGGTGGGCTAAATGTGCGTTTCTCTCATCTCTGAAGCCGCCCAAGCAGCCCTGGACTACGACAGCATGGGCCAAGTCCGGTCCCACATGCTGCATTATACGAGTCCAATCTTCAAGTATTAGAAGAACACATTCCTCGTACAATCCCACCAGTCGGTATCTCGCTCGAGGTAGCTGCACGCGTCCGCGCGTGCTTGTCTTCCCAATGTCGCCGAGAATCCAGCCGCTTCTCAGCAACATGGCACAGAACGCTCGGAATTCAGTCGACCCTCCTCAAAGAGTCAAGTCGAGACATCGGCCAAACCGAGCAGGAGTGCGTTACCAGATTCGCCACACAGCGGGATCTGACACTAATCGATGTCGTCCGTCATCGTCGGGGCGAAAGTGGTGACGATCCCCGTCCAAACAAAGGTCTCGATCCAGCTCAAGGCAAAATTCTTGTGGTGAATCTATCCATGCTAAACCTCTGGGGTAGCATTCAATGTAGTCCTTTCGGTGCTGTGGAGAAAAAGGATATTGACCCGCAAGTCGAGGTTCGCCCAATCCATGACCTCTCGTTCCCTGAGGCGTCCTCTACCAACGACTACTTCGATTCTGACAGCGCTCCGGACATCGCATACACCAGTGTGACTGTCCTCGCACGACGAATTGAGGTTCTAGCTCTAGCTCATCCTGGTATTGTGATCAAGATGCTGAAGGGTGACGTCAAGTCAGCTTTCCGTCATCTCATGCTTCATGCATCACACGTTCGCTGGATGGGAGCAACCTTCCCGGATGAAAATGCATTAGTCATCGACCTGGCAGCTCCATTCGGTTGGTCCGGCTCACCAGCATTTTATGGTGCCTTCGGGAGAGCAATAAGCTGGCTTGTCGGTACTAACTCTCCTGCATCCGTGTCTACTAGCGAGGATGATGAACTCTTTTCGGTTACGAATGGGTTGACGATCATATTCTCATTGAGCCCGATCGAGACAGCCGCCTCGAGCTCGCAGAATCGACGCTGCGTCTGAGTATGATGGCGGTTTTGGATCCCGACAGTATCAACGACGCAAAGTTTTCCGGTTGGTCTACGCAACTGCAAACTCTCGGTCTCATTTGGGATACTACCGATCGGACAGTATCGATGCCAGCGGCAAAAATCCACAAGTGTCTGGACCGCGTCGTCCACATGCTCACCTGTGAAAAAGTGACTAAGAAGCATCTCCAGAAGCTACTCGGTAGTCTCCGACATCTTTTGACATGCTTGCGGTCTGCGAAGCCCTTTTATCAGCGTTTACAGGCCTTGTGTTCTCGCCTCCAAGTGTTCCAGTCAATTCGCCTAACTCCTGGTTCAATTCGAGATCTTCAATGGTGTCAGCACATTCTTTCAGATGGTCACCTAGAGCGTTTACCGCTCCGGTTTTTTTTTGGGGTCTTTACCTGAGGCTGATATCAACATTTACATGGATGCCTCCGATACTGGACTAGCGGTTCTTCACCCTGCGCGAAGCGAATTTATACTTCTCAAGTTTGATGAAGAGGAGGCGCTCATGATTCAAAATTCGGATTCAACAGGCTTCACTATCAACGTACGCGAACATTTCTGTATGGCGTTAGCAGCCTGGTGTTGGGGTTCAAAGTGGCATCAGGATTTTCATTTTCCACACGTGGTATGCTGGAGCGATAACGTGTCTGCCGTATCATGGATTAATCAGCTTCAGTCAAGAAGTGGCTTTGGTCAAGAAATCAACCGCGCCATCGGCTTGGCAGAAGCAGTTTTTCGAATTCGTCTCTCTGCCCACCATCTACCGGGGTCGATCAATCGCATGGCAGACGCAGGATCACGCTCGTGGTCATCTCCTTACTCACACTTGTGGTCAATTTTGTCGTCCGGCTGGACTCAGGTGCAGGTGCCCGCGCACTGGAGGAAGATTTACAAAGAATTCTCCGCGAACTGCAATCCAGTTCACTGGCCGCGTCATCACGACAACGGTATCTCTCCTCATGGAACCAGTGGACACGATGGTGCGCGTCAATGGAGTACAGTCCGTGGCTTCCCGAGGACCCCGCTCTCTCGTCACGGCAACTCGTCTTATTCACAATGTACTGCTACAAATACGGCAGCGATTCCTCGTCGGTCCGAGGAAACTCACTACAGACCATCCAGTCCAAGATCAGTGCAGTCGCGTGGTATCATCGCTGCGAGTATGGAGTCAATATCGGCCTCCTTCCCCACCACGCGATGGCAATCAAAGGAATCCATCGGCTTCGGCCTTCGCCCCGACCCAAGCTACCCATTATGGTGTCCAACCTCCGCATACTCCACCAACAACTCAATTTCCACTCAGCTCACGACCGTGTCCTATGGGGGGCTACGGTCATGGGCTTCTTTTTTCTGCTAAGACGCAGCGAGTATTTACTTCATGACAACAAGATCTACCAATTTGCTATTCGACGATCCGACATCAAGTTTTACGATCAAGCTGGCACAATTTGCGAAGGTAAAGCCCAAGTTCAAAGGGTGGAGATTAACTTTCATGGCGGTAAAAACGACCAGGCCGGAGTAGGTACTTCTCGGTCGCTTACTTCATCGGAGGCGCAGTGGTGCTGTCCTGTGCGTGCTATCTGGTTCTTAGTCGAACACCACCGGACCGTCAGTGAAGACCCCGACGAATTACTGTGCAAGGTCAAGAAAAATGAATTTATTCGTTCAAACGACGTTAACAAGTGGATAAGAAGGCCGCCAACCTCGCTGGCCAGGATTTGAGCCGCTTCTCCACACACTCGCTGCGAATCGGTGGAGCCACAGCTCTCTTCGCCGGCGGCATCGACAGTCTGACCATTAAACTGTTTGGGCGATGGCGCTCTGCCGTATTCGAGAGGTACACACGCATCCAAGCTCAAGTCACTACAGCAATGGCACGCTGCATGATCAATCCCAGTCAAGCCGCTTGTTCCAATCAACACCAACTTCAAGGGCATCCTACTCGCCACACCCGGGCAGGAGGCAGTGTCAATACAACAAGCTATGTGCCCCAGAACTGAGTGAAATGTGGACTTTTGCTGAGCATGACGGTGAAAGTAGCTTTTTACGAGGTTCGGTGAGGGTTCGGACTCGCTACACAACCCGCTGCCTATCCAGAGACCGCCACGGAACACCACTTGTCTAGAATGGTTGGCTGCCAGTACAGCGCGCTCGAAGCCGGGGACGTGCGAACTCGATAGTTCATTCTGCAATTTGCACCAAACTAGTCAAGTCTACCAGTCTTACGATTAATTTAACCCTCCTCGCCACACCCGGGCAGGAGGCAGTGTCAATACAACAAGCTATGTGCCCCAGAACTGAGTGAAAACTGACTTGCTGTCTCATGGATTCAGTCGGAATTTAAAGTAGCGGGTTAAGGGTGAACTATCTGAAGCCGACGCCGATAATGCTCTTGTTGCGTGGATCGTGAAAAATTCTCAGCCATTTGCTATCGTCGTTCAGCCGAAGTTCATTACTTTCTGCGCACTGCTGGATCCCTCCTACAAAGTCAAAGATAGACTATTCGCCGCCACGTCATCATCAAATGGACATTCGAAACGGGAACTTGCACGGAAACAATGATACTCGAGATTGCTTCCTGTCGAACCGGTATTACTACTGATACGTGGATGTCTACTGCTAACCGGGGATATATAGAGTTGTTACACTGCATTGGATCGACGCTCAGTGGCATCAGCGATCCTTAATTTAAGCCTCAAAAATGTACAATACCCACACACGGGTCCACGACTTGCCGATCATCGTTTAGAGGTGGTAAATGCAGTGGACAGCGCTCTATTGTCCTCAATCTGGGCTATTACTACCGACAGTGCTAGCAACAACTAGTCCATGGTGAAACACATCAATACTAAGCTGCCTGAACAACTTCGACAGAATCTACAGGCGTAATTACCCTCCTCTGCACAGCAGTATGCCCCGATAATACGGAGCGGGTTCAAGAACCCCACCCCGTCTTTTAAGTCCGATGCTTGGAGCATGCCCTTCAGCTAGCTGTCAAGGAACATTTCCGTCCATCCACACAAACATCGGCACCATTCGTGATGTTTTGAAGAATCTGTCTGACTCGGCACCACTTGTGGAGACATTGCAACGAAGGTGTGGTGCGAGAACCATTCCTCTAGCCAGAGCTCGACTGCATAACACACTGGAATAGTACCTGGGAAATAGTACTATCGGCAATCAAACTCAGAAAGCTGATTGAAAAGTTACAGCAACGCATCCATGAGCGGCATGACGAATACACTGAGTTTTCCATTGCACCTAGCGATCGTCTGGCTGCTTGTATTGACGATGAGACTGGGAACACGCTCGAAGAGTTCTTGTCTGACACCAGTAAACGCAACAGCGACAATATTGTCCGGTAAAATCTATACAACGTTCGGTATGGCAATTGTTGTTTTCGAGTTGATCTCGCTGCACGCAAACAGAGTCGTCGACCATGCCACTCCAGGGGGTCGTTGCTTGTGCGACTGCTTTCAAGAAAAACTTGACGAGTACAAGAAGACAGTCAAAAGTCGCGACGGCAAGATTGCTGTTGTGCTTGATCCTCGAGCATAGACGCAATAGCCAAAAGTTGTCGACGATATGGACACCATAAAGCAATATGTTTGCAATGAGTTCGAGGTCCCTATCAATCATCATCTGAGGCTCAACATCAGGCCACAAGGGCGTCCCAACCGAGCTCACAAGACGAACAAGACGCTGTACTAGGCGCAGTACTCCATCCGCTGATCGACGACAACATTGGTGCTGACGAACCAGCGACGTTTGCCGGAGAACAGTTTTCGTCTGAACTAGAGTGCTGGCTTAGTCACCGCGACAAAGCCATGACCTCGAAAAGGAAGAGTGACGTGGTTTGTGCATGGATGAGGAGGAACCACGAGCAATTTCCCAGAATTCAATTATGGCTCGAGATATTCTCGGGATCATGGCAACTTCAGTCTCCAGTGAACAAGCATTTTTCATAGTAGGTGCAACGGTAAGTATTCGCTCGACTTGGGGATGATGCAGTCTCTGCGATATCTGAGAGGCAATCCTTCTAGAATTTCAACGAAGCAAGTGGACCCCCCCCCCCCCTTCGCGCGCGCATTGCTTCATTGTCTTAAACATTTTAGGCATCTAATAGCTTACTCTCTATCGTTATACCTTGATCTATCTCTATACTGTAGTACAGATGACTGACATCAGCCTTTCAAGATTTCGCAATTGATTCGGAAGTTTAGGTAGTGGTCGATATCTCATGCATAAGGTATCCCATCATTAACACGCATTGCGTTTAACAGATCGCCGTTTTCAGGTAATTTGTATGGCACGTCTAAGAACAATGTATCCCAGTAATTATATTTCAAGGCACTAGGATGCATGATTCGAAAGCTTTATGCAAAAACACGTGTTGATGCTCCAGACTGGGAGCCATCACATAGACCCAACTTGGCGCCAGCCCGAAACCACAAAGCCGAGGTATTAAAAACAAATTGTAATCTTCTCCAACCTCCACGGATCGTATAAATATCCAGAAGGTTAGAATGTATAACAATCAATAAATTTGAACGGGTATGCTTATATATCGTCTAGAGACTATATATTAGCGTCGTTACAATCCCGCGCAGGACTCTGGGTATAATGTCCAGAGATCAACAACACTGCTTCCTTCCATATTTATAAAAATGTTGTGCGGTTTGGAGGAAAGGGGCCTTTGAACTAGGGACTTAATCATACTACGCCGTCCGCTGAACGGTCGCTTGGAGCTATGTGTCCGTGCTTGCCAACGAAGAGCAAAGCATAATAATCTGTATCATAAGCGCATACCTCTAACTCCGTCGATGTCCATACGCGATTCAGTGTAATCAGTTTAAAAGTACATTATGGTAAGACCACTTCTTGACGAGAATTAAAATTGAACTCTGAGGGCTTACGGAACCTATTAGCACGCTGTTGCCACTGTCCACCTGTTCCCGGTTGTTGTTGCTTCCGATGGAAATGTAAAAGTGACATGTATTGAGTAGTTCCTCAACTTTCGCTAGCTGCTCTTGTGTCCTATGTATGTCCTTGAAGAGCACACGATCGGTGAGGTAACCGTCCATGCTAACAACCTTGTCTAACTGTCCATGTTCCTTGCATGTGCTTTAACCATCCGTACTTACCGCAGCAGTCGCGTCGTAGTGCTATTGATGAGCCAAATCTCAGCAACGGCAGTATGGCGTTGCTCCAACAACACCCCCTCCCCCCCCCCAAAGATCATGCCTTCAATGTGGATGCAAACGCTATCATTTAGCGTTGAAGTTGGCCGCGTGTCGAAACCAACTAGTCGACTTGTAGCGCTTTATGCAATGCTTTTACCGCCACAAGGTTCAAATTCGCACGAACAAAACTTTTCACAGCCGCTGGAACATCCTGCATCAGCGTCGCTCCTGGCTCCCAAAAAATCTCGATAGAATCCAGTCCACGCCAGTGAACTTTGAGTTCGTGTCATTATTCCATTCTATTGTACCGAGCCTCTAACAGTGCGTCCACAACGTGACCTTCGCTGTTGTGGTCTATGTGAAGCAGTAAGTCCTCACTGACGTCGAGTGAGCTGTCCGAGCAGAATTTAAGTCGACTAGCGTGCACTTCTTGCTGTTGTCCGGTTACTAGGTTGCGAATCTCAAAAATTCAATTTGACACAGTCGCCACCACTTGAGCTGGTCCGCACCAGTTCACGCGCAGCTTGCTGCGAGTATGGTTCCACACATCGGCATACAGAACGAAATCACCAATGTCAAACTGAGCCATCTTAGTACCTTGCTTCTTGTCGTGGCCCTTTCGTCCGGCCGCAGCCGAATCGATCGTTGCCGTATGTTTGTGCATCATTTCCAAGGCTTGTTGCAATCTCGCAACATTGGCACGTTGAGCAGTTTGTATTTCTGAGAGTGTAGCCATTGCAACAGGCCCTGGAATCGAAATATGGTCGCTGGGGCAAATTGCCTGAAGCCCGGTAATTGCTGTCACAGGGGCGACACCGCCAAGCGAAGGTGATGGTGTGTTGGTTAACACCAACCGAACGATTTTGATAACTCTAGGCCGTTCAGGAGTTGCAGTCTCCACTCAGAAGAAGTGCGCGGCAGCACCTCAAAGTTTCCCGCATCACAACTTACATGGTACCGTTTGCCCAAGGGCACCTGGCAGTTGTGAAGTGGTGGTGCGCTCCAAGTGTATGTTGCACGGCTTGGATCACAGCATTCTTAAAGCGTTCCCTGGCGCTGACCCAGAAACGACACACGCCAAATGAAGCGAACCAATCGAGTGAAGCGGCAAAGGTAGTGTCCACGTCTGCTGCCATACTCGGTATTAGCCACACAAACTTTGACGCGTCGTCCTTTATCACTAACACGTACTCCAGGTTCGTGTCACTTTATCCATGAAAAGGTAATCCCAGTCAATTAACTCGTTTGGTCTCTCGGCGTGCATCGCCTCACCCGGTGGTCGTAGCTGTGGAGGCCTACCAAGAGTGCTAGCGCAGTGTAGACAGCGGCGAACAAAAAATTCGACATCTTTCGCCATATTTGTCCACACGAACTTCTCTTTTATTTGCTGCAGGGTCACCTTCATGCCGCGATTACCAGCGATACCGAAATGCCCCACGACACAAATTCGCATTTGCATACCAGTAACCTCATCCGGAATCCAGATACGACCGTCTTTGTCCCGCAACATCAAGTCCTCAGTGGACCGCGTGAACTCCGTTTCGTACTTCCAAGATGCCTTTCATGGTTGGCCAGACGAAGTTGTCTTCCAATTGTGGGGATAGCGGCAATGAAACTTGGCGAATTGCACAAACCGCCCTAAACGACGACCCCCAACGCGATAGAAGATCCGCCAATACGTTGTCGTCGCCAGCAATGTCGTAAATCTCGTACTTATAGCACATTAGCACGAGTGAACAACGGTGGAGTTTGTCCGTCATATACTTGGGTACCGAGTTGGAAACACTGTGAGGATCAAAGATGAAACTCAGATTCCG